TCACGAAAGGCACTTAGCAGTCTTTGTAATTAGACGTACTAACTGCTTATATGAAACTGTTGTTGGTGGGCTATAAATACTCACAATGAATACTACAACTATTCGGTCTTATTTCTTGTAAATTTACTTTCCAGCATTTTAAATTCTATAACTTGTTCTTAAATTTCATCTTTCAATATCTTGTCCAAGATCAATACAAAATCCTTTTCTTGTAAAAAACCAAAATCAATCTATTGGGTGAAAGATTTTCACTTTTTGAGTGAAACAGCAGTTACGGGACATCGAGATCAAACTGATCCAAGTATAAACAATGTACACTAATGAGGGTGACATGATATGGTCTTTGTTTTTTCTTAATTTAATTTTTGTGTTTGTTATTATAGCACTTATGTCGTAGAAGAGCCAGAGGAGATGGTGACGCCATAGCCTTTAACGATAAGCAATTTGTATGGATCGGAACTCTGGGGCTTCTTGATGCCACTCCAAAACTTTATGTGAAAGGATACGTGGGGTGACTAAAGGCAAAATGTCAAAGTCTTATGGGCTCATTGCGTTTACTTTGGATGACCTATCATCTTCAGTTTCACTATCAATGACCTCCCTCGAATCAGATCAAAGATGTAAATTTGATATGTATGGGAAATCGGACTCGAGATATCACTTAATACAAACAAGTGAAAAATATAGAAGTTTTCGACAAAATAAGAGATACATTCAATTGGTGTAGCCGCTTGACTCTTTAATGATGGGTCACTCTTTCTACAACTTCATATAATTGGATCAACAATCCGCATGAGAGATTGAGGTACCGCCAAAGTGACGATTAAGATCGACCATGCAATGTATGTGTCTTGCCATAGATGTTTTGCAATTTCAGCAAGATTGCCTAAGTCTCACTGCTTTTTTGTTATATAAATAATGTGAAGGGTAATAAGCTGTGAGATTTTGTGGAATCATTGACAACTATTCTAAAAGCTTAAGCTATTAGATGAATTAATAATTTATACTTAATTACTCTAATACTCCTTCTCACTCTTTATGGAACCACCGGCAAAAATCCAAAGACCATATTGAACATTAGGCTAAATTTCATGGACTATATTGAATAAATTAAAAGTTTAGGGACCACAGTGTACATTAGGCTAAAGTTCATGGACTGTGTATTTTTTTTTTTTTGATGACCCAGGGAACCCCCGCACGGCCGACAGCTGGGAGGTAAACCCTGGGGGCGACACGTGCTAGCCACCACACACGTGCACTGTTTGTTGTTATTATCCCTCCTATAAAGGGAAAATTACCAAAACAGTCATAAACATATTGCAATTGTGTCAATTCAATCCTAAACCTTTTGTAATTATGCCAATTAAGTCCATCCGGCCAATTTTGGCTGGCTAGCGTTGACATGGACATCGGCCATCTAGCCAACACTGACGTGGCAATTTTTAATTTTTTTTAAAAAAATTTCGAATTTTTTTTCTTTTTTTTTTTTTTTTTTGCTTTCCTTCTTCCCCTGGATGGTCCGGCCGGCATTCACGTCAAAGCTGGCCAGATTGACTTAATTGGCACAAATGCAAAAAGTTTAGGATTGAATTAATACAATTGCAATAGATTTATGACTGTTTTGGTAATTGTCCCTCCTATAAATGAATCAACAATTGACACGAGAGATTGAGGAACTAACAAAGTGACGATTAAGATCGACCATGTATGTCTTCCCAAAGATATTTTGCAATTTTAACATACTGCCTGAATCTCATTAATTTTTTTTAAACTAATGTCAAGAGTAATAAACAAATAGGAAAAGGTTTAGGATTGAATTAACACAATTGCAATAGGTTTAGGATTGTTTTGGTAATTTTCCCTCCGATAACTGAATCAACAATCGACACGAGAGATTGAGGAACTAACAAAGTGACGATCAAGATCGACCATGTATGTCTTGCCAAAGATGTTTTGCAATTTCAACACACTGCCTGAATCTCATTGTTTTTTTTTTAAACTAATGTCAAGAGTAATAAACAAAGAGGCTTTTCTTCTTCAAAAGGGAAAAAAATGGTCACGCATCCACAAGGTACAAATCAGGTCCGAGTTCTCGTGCATCCAGTGATTAATCGTTCATGTGCAATAAGAGTTGCATAGTCGGTCTACTAAAATGGAATCACATACCTTTTCCACAAAAAGACCAAAATTTGGCAGACCCGCCAAAAGACTTTTGCCTGTCTTTTAAATTGACCAACGAAAGTCATTTTATAATTCTTTGGAGTATTCCTATTCCTTGAATCACAAAAAGAAAAATCAAAATCATTTTCAGATTTTATATATCATCACATCGTTTCATTTAATAATAATGACAAAATATACATGATTATGATGAATTACAAACAAGCATAAATCTCCGAAACATTATGATGAATTACAAACGAGCATAAATCTCTGGAATTATATAAGCTCCGGAGGATGAAGAACACATTGCGGTAAAATTTTGGCGCTATGAGATGGCCTTAGACTAGAATTAGCAAATAGTGTTACCCATTTGCACATTGATATGAATACCATGTCTATTATTCAAGCAATTACAGGCACTCAAGCATTATTTGCTGATAAAGCCTCATTTGGCTGAATGTAGGAACTTACACACGGAATGGTTGCACAGATGGTTTGGCCCGGCTTGCAAAGGAGCAACATTTGCAATTTGGTGTTTATTCCTCTATTTTAGATGTTATTAAAGACCTGACGACTCCGTTGGGAGCACATATATTTCAGACAATGCAACTTGACTAATTTTGTGTAATTATCAATAGTTGAGATTTGTTACGACACCAAATGAAATATTGTGTAGATAGAGCATCGTTGTCCCTTGCCCATATTGACGTAGTGCATTCAAGATTTTACTTAGCCATGCCTGTTGTCAAGACTTATATTGAGTTAGGACCGGGATGAGTAGGGAAGATTGGATTTCTTCAATTGCTTCAATACAGGTAGTCGTGAGGCGATTTTCCTTCACTACTTGCTCTCATCTCTCTCTCTCTATTTTTTTATTTCATTTAATTACGATGTATTGCGTGGACCTAGTTTCCTCACGTAACCATGGCTAGTTTAGCTTCAATGGCTCGGTAGGAGGTGGAGGCTTGTGCTATTTTGAAGGGTAATCTTCGCTGTGATCTTGGGATTCAGAACAGTCGACAAGAAGACAAACATAAATGATATCTAATTATAACGGGATAAGTGCACGGGAAGTTCCGAAACTTATCACGGAAATGTAATTGAGTTTTTAAACTTACAAAAAGTGCAATTAAATCATAAAACCTGTCAAATTGATACAATCGAATCATTCTGTTAATTCCGTCAAATTTGGCTAACGAAAAATGACTTTGTTTAACGACATAGCGTGTTGTTCGCGCTAATATATGTCAACCATATCTTTGAGATAGGTTGGTCGAGTAATTCACTTGCAGGTACTCCTAAATACAAGGATCTCAACGTGTTTAGCAAATATACATAATTCACGACACGAGTCGTTTAAGCATGTGAGATTCGTGCGACTTCCTCTACTTTTTATAACGACTTGGAATGATTGGGGCCATGGTAGATTGCGATGCACCCTTTTCCTGTACCTTTTTTTTTTCTCTTCTTTCCAATGTCGTCAGGATCCGATATGGATCATAATCCACCGAAAGAAAAAATCTTTTCTGAGTTCTTATAGATCGTTAACTATTGCCTTAGTAATTCCTTGCAAGTTTGTGAGTTCAGATTCAATCTATCACTCATCTCATTGAATAAACACTTAAATTTCAAAAAAAAAATTGAAAGAAATCAAAAAAAAAAAATTGAAAGAAAAGGTCTTTTCTAAATTCTTATAGATCCTTAACTATTTCCTTGATAATTCCTACTTCTAAATACAAGTTTGTGGGTTCAGATTCAATCTATCGCATTCATGTCATTAATTGGCACGAGTAGTACCCTTTTATCTCTCCTCTTTTTACTTATTTTTTGTCATTCTTATTAAAAGAACTGAAAAATGTTCAATGATCCATTTTTTTCATCGCTATAATCACCAACCTTGCCCCGCACTTCGCAGGCGTGGGACGAGATGGAGATGGGGACTTCCATGGGCCCTGCTCACTACTCTACCTATTCCAATATAATCCTTTTTATTATGTTCAATTGTAGAAAGTTCCGCTGAAATCGTTATTTTGTTAGATTTCATGTTTACATTTTTATACTCATTAAACTAAATCACTCAACAAATTATATGCTCTTTAAGCTAACAATTTTACATTTAATTTAAGATAGTCTCCATGGAAAATAACTTAACGCGCTTTCTACTTATAAACCACGAAGATTTTCACACCGATCTCCTTGGTTTCCAGGGACAACAAAACTTTCTGCGTCATCCTCAACCATGTATAACAATTGGCTTCTCATTAGTATCTACCTATCTCAATTACGTCTCTAAATCGTGGTATCTCCAGGCTTTCAAAAAGATGGATGGACAAACCAGGTCCCAGGTTAGATTCTCTATATTCATGAGAGTCATTTGGCTTGTACTATTACGACAAAACATTATGAGATTGGTGATGTATATATGGACAGAGATGTTCTCTAAGAACCTAAAGAACTAACTTTCATGAGCAAGAAAACAGCATCTCATAGTAATTTACTGAAACATTGCAAACAAACATAGATTAGGATCTTCAGACATGCACGTATAACTGCACTCACAAACTACTTAGATACAGAGCATCAAGTACCTAGTTGCATATTTTCTTGTCTGCTAAAGCTTATCTCACCTTTTACATCCTTTTGCCATTGTCTTGGAGTAGTGCAAGAACCACCTACTCTTCTCATCAATAATCAAGTTCCCTAGCACAACACCAACCAAAAACCCAACTCCAGTGCCAGCCAGCACGATTGTCCAATCCAAGTCGAATAGAGACTCTACTTCATTATCTACTTTGAAAGATGATGGTGGTGGTGCAGCGCTTTCACCAGTTGTGCATTTATTTGGCGAGAGGACTTCCACACAACCATCGATTCATCGCAAACGAACTGCTCTCGAATGTGTCGAATTGTGTTCCATGTGGTATTCGTCCCGATAGTCGATTGTGATAGACATCGAAAAATTCAAGAAATGTGAGGCTGGCTAGTTGTTGGGGAATCTCTCCCATGAGATTGTTTAGGGAAAGATCCAATGATTCGAGCACTGTCAGGTTCGCCAAGGAAGGAGGGATGCTACCAATGAGGAAGTTGTTTGAAAGGTTGAGCATATAAAGAGACTTCAGATCTCCAATGAGTTCAGGAATGGAACCTTTGAACTTGTTACTAGAGAGGTCAATTGCCACAAGCATATATGGAATCTTCCTATATTCCCTTTTCGTGCCCTTATTCGTCAATATCAACGCATAATTCATCGTACTTCCGTCGAGTATGAAACCAGACATATCAATCCATTGATGTATATTCATATATGCCAACTTATCTTGACCATCGATAAACTTCATGGCATGGCAACTCTGTAACAACTTGGAAGGAAGTTTACCATTGAAGCTGTTGTTGGAAAGGTCTAGGATGTGCAAATTGGCGAAGTTAAGATGGCTTAGATGACCTTCTATGGGACCATGGAACTTATTGGACCGCAAGTCAATGACTTTTAGGTAGGCCAATTCCGATAGCCAAAATGGAAATGTATCATTAATTTGGTTGTCACCAAGATTCAAATACTCCAGCATTCCGCAATTTCCTAAAGATCTCGGAACAATCCCTCTTAGTCGGTTTTCTCTGAGATCGATCATCCTCAATGCACAACCATTTGGGTAAACGGGAGGAATCATGCCATCGAATTTATTTCTCGCGAGGTTCAATAATAACAAACGACCAATACTACCCAAACAAGGAGGAAGTGTGCCATTCAGAGAATTGTTGGACAAATCGAGCACTGCAAGAGATCTCAGTTCACAAATGGATTTTGGAACTTCCCCATATAGGAAGTTGTTGGAGATGTTGTATATCATGACCGAGGGAGGTGGGATAGGGAGGGTTGTTTCTAGCAAGTTAGAACTAACGTCAAGATATTCCAACTTCGGCAAAGGAAGACTAGTCTGGTTGTTTTCGAAGCCGGTTAAAAGATTGTGAGAAAGATCTATATACCAGAGGGATTCTTTGCTATTGTTCCACATCCATCTAGGAATGGTCCCTCGGATTCTGTTGTATGGTAGGTCTAACCGCACCAATTCGCTTAAGTAGCCTATAAACTGTGGGAACTCGGTCAAGTTGCATGAATCCAAGATTAAGACGGCAAGCTTCGATGTAGTGTCATTGATGAATGACTTGGTGATCGATATATTGTTGAAGGACAAATCTAAACCTTTCAAGTTCTTGAGTTTGAATAGATCATTTAAATCAAGAACGCCGTTGAGATTAAACGACCTCAGATAAAGCCATTCAAGATCCTCTAGATTCCACAATGTGCCCAAAATATCACCGCGCAAGTCGTTGTCAGAAAGGTCGAGTATATTCAGCTGCTTCAGGTTCGCAAATGAAGATGGAAGTCCACCGGTTAGCCCATTATCTACCAAACAGAAAGAAAAACAAAAAGACACAAGACCAAGAGGAGCGTTAGTTACACCATGGGACTAACTAACCGCAATTGAGAATATTAGGAGCAAGTGTGACGCCACGTCATCGATGCACCAGCCCACTCAGTGGACGAAAAGTGGCGCTGTGGGTCCCACCTTCAGAAAAATTGGAAAAGTCTCTCTCCCTCTCCTCCTCTCTGCCGGTTCGGGTCGCATCTCTTTCCTTCCTTCTCTCTCTCTGCAACTCCATGGAACCACCGATCTCTCGCACTCCACCGCCACTCCCTCCCTCCCCGACCACCACCAAAACCCTCGCCGTGACGGCCACGAGCAAAACCACCATCGCCGCCTCGAGAGCTTCGAGTCCAGCGACAAGCCTGAGCCGAAAGGCCTTCCGGCTCGGCAAGTTCGGCCAAGTCCTGAACCAAGGACAGCTTCTTCATCATCAACTTCTTCTCCCACAACTTCCTCAACTTCAACTCTTCCTCCTCGCAATTGATCCCCCTCGACGTCGCGATCTCGATGCTCTACTCGACGCACGTCTTGTCCTCCCGCAACCTCCTCAAATCCCTAATTTTCAGATTCACGCTCCCAATGTACCCGACGAACTCCGCCTACGCGCTGATCTTCGACAGAACACTCGAGTGGCGGTCGTCGATGGAGGGGTAGGGTTTCGGGTAGGAGGGAGGAGGAGAGGATTGCGAGGTAGGCATCGAGGTGGAGGAGGAAGTCCCTGTCTCTGGTTTCGCTCGTGGTCGCTGCGGCTGCGGTTTTGGAGGTGGTCGGGGAGGGAGCGAGCGGCGGTGGACCTCGAGAGATCGGTGATACCATGGAGTTGCACAGAGAGAGAAGGAAAGAGATCCGACCGAACCGGCAGAGAGGAAGAAACTATTACCTGAAATTTCCAAGTCCGTAAGTTTTGTCAAGTTGACCACCCACTCCAAAGTATCACCACTCAAGTTATTGGAAGAGAGGATTAGCTGCGATAGCTGGGTAAGATCAGCAAAGGAAACAGGGATTTGACCTTGCAAGTTATTTCCGTAAAGGACTAGTGTAGTGAGATGAGAAAGATTCCCCAATGAAGAGGGAAGCGATCCCGAAAAATGGCACTCACTAGCGTCTAACTCATTCAAGAGACTAAGATTTCCAATCGAAGAGGGTATTTCTCCTGAGAATTTGGTATTGTAAAGGTTTATGGATTTCAATGGAGAACCCCAATGCGGTTTGGGAAGAATACCAGAAAGGTTGGAATTGCCACTAATGTCAAGGACTTCCAAGTTTGGCAGCTGAAAAATGCTGACTGGAAAGTCTCCATTCAATCCACAATATCCAAGCTCGGAAACAGGGATTTGATCTAGCAAGTCATTTCTGCGAAGGTCTAGTGCAGTGAGATGAGAAAGATTACCCAATGAAGAGGGAAGTCCCGAAAAAGAGCAGTGGCTAGCGTCTAACTCATTCAAGAGACTAAGATTTCCGATCGAAGCGGGTATTTCTCCCGAGAAGTCGGTCGAGGAAAGGTATAACAATTTCAATGGAGAACCCCAATGCGGTTTGGGAAAAAAACCAGAAAGGTTGGGATTCAGAGAAATGTCAAGGATTTCCAAGTTTGGCATCTGAAAGATGCTGACCGGAAAGTCTCCATTCAATCGACAATTTCCAAGCCGAAGCGATGTCAAGGAAGAGAAATTCGCTAGCACATGAGGGACAGGTGATGACAAGCTTACAGAAGAAAGATCGATTTCTTTTAGCCCAGTCGAATTATGAACAAGGTCGCCCATGTTGAGCAAATGAAGTGTCAAGCCCCAAGAAGTGGACAAATCGAGAGAAACTAACCAGGATAGCTGCGAGATATCGTGAGGAATTTCACCGGAAAAATCCGAGTGGGAGAGATTAAGGTATTGTAACCTCGAAAGATTGCTGAAGCCGTACGGGATTGGGGAGAAGTTGAAGCTGTTGTAAGCGAGATTGAGCGACTCCACGTGAACGAGTCGAAAGAGAGTGGTGTTGGGACTCATGGTGCCCGAGAGACAACTGCTACTGAGGTTGAGGGCAATCACTCGGCCGGTGACCTCATCACATTCGATGCCGTCCCACGAACAACAATCTCCACTTCCATCCATAGACCAAGAGTGGACCTTTGGATAAACGCATCGCGAATCTGTCTTGTCGGTTCTGAAACTTCTCTTGAATTCCATTAAGGCAGAGCTCTCATCCGCATGACATGATGCCTCCGCAAGCCTAGTACGAAAGAGAGAGAGTAGGAACATCCAAGTAAGCAGCAGATATAATGATAAGGCTGCCATATTTTTCTGCTTTTGTGTTTTGTTCTTTTGGTTACTGAAGTGAGTTTTCGTGGGAGAGTGCAACGGAGAAGCTTTTTATAGGCAGCAACAATTCGTTCTGTCAATGGAAATATCTTGCTACTTGGCCATTCAAAGTGCTTGACCCCAATACTTTTCATGGATTTTATGTATGCCTTCTGTATGGGTTTGAAAACTGCACGATGTTAGACCTATATACATTTGTTTTATCATCCAGAGCACAAGGGCAGCGGCTTGGCATTGTCCCTCTTTATCTATATTTCTCTGTCATACTTTCGATATAGTATCCATTCGTTTCTTTTGGTGACATGTTGGAAATTGGCAACAAGCTCCCATGTAAAATTGTTCATGTCGTTTGATTTGATTCATAGCTTCAAGGCTAAATTTCAAGTACAGAGGCTGTTCATACTTGTTTGTTCATCCATATAGGTTGGTTGTGCAGTCTTCTATCAATAAGCCCATTTATAGGTGGGCTCATGTCTCTCTAACTTTAAACTCACTTATACATCGGTTTTAAGCGGGAAATGAGAAACACCCATCTTAACAGAGAAGTGTTGAAAAAAATATCAACACAATCAGAACGAAAAAAATGAAAGATCAAACGATATTATTGAAATAGATGGATGTGCACTCAGAATCATCAAATAAAGATACAATCAACAATCACAAAATTAATTGAGTTATAGAAAGTATTAGTTGTATATACACAGTGTCAAAACTCATACAAATTAGACTTCCACCATAATGAGAACGGTGAACTATTTAGGTATGTGAAATACTACATCTACTGAGAGCCTACTCTGCAATTAGAAATCAAATTGCAGCTTCCCTCTCTCCACACGTTCTGCAATAAAAGGACTCTAAACTAGTTCCGTTGTTTATTCCCTCTCGTTTGGTTAATTTGAGCTAGGACACTTATAGATATACTCAATACACATCTTACATCACAAATTCAGGATGCTTAAGAGATCAACAGCAGCATTTTGAATTGCCTCTTGCCTTAACTTCCCTTCACTACCTACATTGACTATTCCCCTCCCATTTTACATTGCTGAGCAAACGTTTCTCACTTTTCTGCTAAGTACAATATTCAACAAGATCCTGCAATAACATCAGTAGCAGAATCCAAAATGCCAAGGTGACCAAAAATGGCTTTTCCAAACTACCTATCAACATAAATCACAGTCAGGCCAGCCTTTTCCCATACTGTACAGCAAGCCTACCAGTAACAGATACTTGTGCCACAAAACAAGCAACCACGCTTCAAGGAAGATGAAACTCATCAATATTAAGGAGGTTGAAAAACCAGTAACCACCCCAGCAACGATTTCCTATTTCCAACATTTAGCTCTAATCTTGCAGGTTAACCAGGTTTTGAAAACATCTTAGAACCTGGCGATGCACAGGCCATATTAAGTCGTTAAGAAACCATGATGTAAGTAAGAGACGCAAAAAATAAATATGTACACGTTCAATGTACTTGAAAGGTAACTTGAAAAGGAGATGGAATGCAGCATTTGGAAGGTGAGATTATGGAAAATACGATTTTGTATGACATCAACAAATCAGATGTTGTATACTAGAGGTTCAATTACAACTGATCCTTGAGACTGAGTTCTGTACAATTGGCCATTTATTAACATTTTGAGATGACCATGCAACTTAGATGAAAAACTATATATCGGTCATTTCAAACAGAGCACGATAGTATACTTCAGAATACTTAAGAGAGCAAAATGAACGAACTCGTGCTTACTTGCTAATTGCCTCAGTACTCCCTTTTCCCACAACAATAAATCCCATCTTAGATAGGTAATTCGCAGACGCATGAAATTCTCATGTATGGGCTAAGTAAAAAAATGAGTGAAAACCCAACTGGGTGGTCCAAAGATAATATCAATTCTTTAACTGATGAGTTAAAACTCATTGGGTCATGTCTTGGTATTTGTTTATACTGCAAGTAAATTAGGTGATTAAATTTCTTGAAATGCATCAATTCCTTCCCCATAAGAAACCGTTGAAGGTTAAGAAAATAAAAGGTGTACCTCAATCATTTATATAAGCAACAAATGGAATAATCACAAAAGTTTTATGGAAAATTTGAGGCGCTTGTTATGATGATAAAAATGCATACAACGTAAGTGAAGTCGATGCTGCGTTTCATCATTGAGTCCACGCTCAGCATAAGACGCCAACCACTCCTTGACTCGAATGAAGTCTTCCAAGTCTTCCACTAAGTTGAGAATCTGAGTGGCCACTTCAACTTTGACAACATGGAAAATGCATAATGATCAGTTTGACTATGATCAGAAGCGTGCCTCTTAGTGGTCAATGCACTTAACCTGGTCTTTGAGCTACGGTTTTATTCTTTTATTTTTTTTTGGTCAGAATTGAGCTATGGTTGAAAAATCTGTATTATATAGAAAAGAAAGTGGGAATGTTGGGCAAGTAATCTTCTCCCAACAACAGGAAATTCAAGACTTTTGCTCATCTTTTAGATTGAAGAACATGAGTCATTATACAGTTCTTAAGAGTATTCCTAATCCTCGAATAAAAAAAAAAAGACCATAATCATCCACTGAAAATATTTTCAGATTTTATATATGATTGCCTCATTTTATATAAAATTTAATATCAAAGTATACATGATTATGATGAATTACTAATAGATCCTCTTTTGGCCGAATGTAAAGGCTTGCTCGCAGAGATGCAGGAATACAAAATTGAGCACATACTCAAAGAAGCAGATGGTTGAACGGATGCTTTACAGGGGAACAATATCTGCAATTTGTAATTTGTTCCTCGGTTCCACATGTTATTAAAGAACTATTGTACAATGACACCAGCAGCACATATATTTCAGACAATGTAACTTGACGGGCTTTTTTTAATGTAATCATGTTATTTATCGGAAAAAAAGGGAGAAAAAAAGCTTTATCGCCGGTGTGTAGGTATTCATCATTCTTTTTCCTTTTTAAACATCAGTTGACCATTACAACGTCAAATGTTAATTTTGATGTGAGAATATTCTAGTCCTGTTCATCACTCTTATTATACAATGGCAATAGAATTGAGTTTCAATCCAAACAAGTAAAATGAATGCTTCATCAAATTATATATTTATACAAGCCAATCACGACAGTATATTTCAGAATAGTTAAGAGCAAAATGAACAAACTCGTGCTTACTTGCTAATTGCCTCAGTACTCCCTTTTTTCAAGACGATAGTTCCCATCTTAGATAGGTAAATCGTGGACGCATAAAATTTTCATGTACGGACTAAGTTAAAAAAACGAGTCAAAACCCAGGTGGGTGACCCGAAGATGATAGTCTTTAACTGCTGAGTTAAAATCATTGAGTCATGTCTTGGTACTTGGTATTTGTTTATACTGTACGTAAATTAGGTAATTAGATTCCTTGAATTGCATCAATTCCTTCTTTGTAAGAAACCATTGAAGGTTAAGAGAATAAAAGGTGTCTCTCAATCATTAATGATATTATAAGCAATAAATGGAATAATCATAAAAGTATTATGGAAAATTTGAGGCACTGGTATACCTAATGATGAAAATGCATGCCGTGTAAGTGAAGTCGATGTTGCGTTTCATCATTGAGTCCACGTTCAGCAAAAGACGCCAACCACTCCTTGACTCGAAAGAAGTCTTCCAAGTCTTCCACTAAGTTGAGAATCTGAGTGGCCACTTCAACTTTGACAGCATGGAAAATGTATAATAACAATTTGACTAAGATCAGAAGCGTGCCTCTTAATGGTTGAAAAACTGTATTTTATTGAAAAGAAAGTCGGAGAGACTCTGAAGTTAGGCAAGTAATCTTCTCCCAACAACACAGGAAATTACATGACTTACCAAGACTTTTGCCCATCTTTTGGATTCACGAACGGGAGTCATTCTACAGTTCTTAGGAGTATTCTTAGTCCACAAATCACAAAAAGAAAAGAAAGTAATCATCCGCTGAAAATATTTTCAGATTTTATATATCATTGCGTCATTTTATATAAAATTTAATGACAAAGTATATATGATTATGATGAATTACAAACAAGCATAAGTCTCTTGGGAACTATAGAAGCTCCGATGGACAGTAAACACATCGGGGCAAAAATAAAGTGCAAAGAGATTGTCTTAGATTAGAATCAGCTGATAGCATTACCCATTTACCCACTGAAATGGATTCCATGTTTGTTAGTCAAGCAATTGCAGGCCGTCAAAGGCTTAATTTACTATTGAACCCTCTTTTGGCTGAACGCAGGGACGTGCTCACGGAGCTGCTGGAATACGAAATTGAGCACATATTTAGAGAAGCAGATGGTTGCACGGATGCTTTAGCACCGCTTGCAAAGGAACAACATCTGCAGTTTTTTCAGACCATGTAACTTGACATGCGTTTTTTTAATGTAATCATTTTATTTATTGGGAAAAAAAATGAAGAAAAAAAAGCTTTATCTCTAGTGTGTAGCTATTCATCATTCTTTTTCCCATTTTAACATCAGTTGACCAAAATCACGTAAAATGTTAATTTTGATGTGAGAATATTCTACTTCTGTTCTTCACTCTTATTGTATAATGACACTGGTTAGCTCGTGTAATGCCGGTTACTTGAATTGACATCTATGAAGATCATAAATATTTTTTTTTTTTGCATGAAAGTTTATATAGTACTGTCCAATTGTAATTTGTACGCTATATAATATGATATTTGATGGGATGCGGAATTAGGAATGCACTAACTATACAAAACTTGTTAGCTCAAGTTATTTGTGATCTCAGTTGAGTCTCAATCCAGAGAAATAAAATGAAAGTTTCATCGCGCGTGCGTATATATATATATATATATATATATGTTTGTGTATATATATATATATATATATATATGTTTGTGTGCGCGTGCGCGCTCGCGCGCATGTTTGTACGTAAGTATGTATGTATGTGTGTGTATGTATGAGGCCAGCTTTCGTGCACCTTAATTAGTTCACTTCCCTGGGGATATTAAGTGCGCACTCCCACATATCAGCCCGTTGCATTCAGGATTTTACTCTTAAGGTGCTTCCGACGAGACTCGATACTCAAGACCACAAGTAGAGAAGGAAACTCTTTAGCCATCTAAATCAACACTGTTGGCTCTGTGTAGCGAGTCCGAGTGCACAAATTAAATAGAAAATTAGACAAAGATGAAATAAGTATTATATTGAATAATTTTATTGACAATGCGTGATCTGTACAATAATATATTAAGACATTTGCTTTTTCAAGATCCATGTGTGGATCACAATATTTTTAGACATACAAATCATATCAAAGATGGACATTCATTTGATTATCTATACACTGATACCTCTTTTCACACGTAACATACTATGTAAGTAGCGTGAACCTCCAACGAAAGCGACCAGCCATTACTATCTATAAAAGCTTCTCAACGGCACTTTTACCTTGCACGGATTAACCAACTCCAGTAACGAAAACAAAAATCATGGCATCCTTACTCCATGCGCTTCTTACTTGGATCGTCCTTCTCGTGATGATCCATACTTCCCTTGCTAAGCCACTATGGCATCCGGACAAGAGCTCTGCCTTGATGGACTTCAAGCGAACTTTTCGAATCAGCAAAGCAGAATTTCGCTGTGTTTATCCAAAGGTTGAATCATGGTCACTAGATGGACATGGAGATTACTGTTTATGGGATGGGGTCGAGTGCGACGAGGCGAGTGGTCATGTGATAGGCCTTGACAGACATTCATTTGGCACCATAACTTCCAACACCAGCCTCTTTTGCCTACTTCACTTGGAATCGCTGAATCTTGCTTTGAACGACTTTAACTCTTCCTCAATTCCATATGATTTCAGCAATCTTTCTAGGTTACAATACCTTAATCTCTCTATTTCAGAATTTTCTAGGAAAGTCCCCTCAGATATCTCACGGCTCTCGAGATTAATTTCTCTTGACTTGTCTTCTGAGTGGACGTCTCTTGAGATACTCAACATTGAGAACTTTGTTCATAACTTACCTATGCTTAGAGAACTTGATCTCTCTATTATAAGCATGTCATCACCATTCCCTCATATACTTGCAAACTTCTCTTCTTTGAAGTCACTCCGACTTAGAAAATGTGGATTGCATGGAGAATTTCCGGTAAGCATCTTTCAATTACCAAAACCGGAAGTCCTTGACATCAGTTACAATGACAACCTTTTCTGGTTTTAGTCCAGAACAACAGTGGGATAATCCCCTGAAATCATTGTCTCTTGGGGGCACGATTTTCTTGAGTTCACTTCCCTCTTCGCTGAGTAACCTTTCTCAGCTTGCTTATCAAGATCTATAAAGAAGTAAATTTATGGGTCAAATCCCCGCTTCCTACGCTAATCTTACCTAGCTATCGTATCTAGATCTCTCTAAAAATAATTTCACAGGTGATATTTCACATTGGCTTGTCAACTTGGCAAAAGTCAACTATTTGGACCTTTCAGGTAATATTGAGCTAGCAAGGTGTTTTTTTTTAATGAAAAAAAGAAAATGACAAGATTCAGTCACTAGCCATACTAACAAGTCTTGTCTCTTTACACTCTGGCAGTTAATCGGCTGAGTGGTCCACTTCCATCGTCATTTGAGAACCTGACACAGTTGGTTGTGCTTGACCTTTCATTCAACAATTGGCGAGGTGAAACTCCAAAGTCCTTATGGGAACTCAAGGATCTTGAATATCTGGATCTTACGAGGAATAATTTGAGTGGCACCATGGATTTACACAAACTCAAGAACTTAAAAACATGATATTTGGACTTCAACAACATAACATTTGTCAGCAAGACCGAGATCAATGCCACTCTTCCAAAAATTTCCGCCTTAAGTTTAGGTTTATGCAACTTACATGAGTTCCCAAGGTTTTTAGGCTACCTAAAGGGATTGGAGAGGGTATATCTATCAGACAATAAAATCGGAGGGAGTATTCCTACTTGGATGTGGAATGGTAGCAGGGAAACATTGTCAGTTATGTTTCTTTCTCACAATTTTCTAACTGGCTTTGAGAACAGCCGCATCAATCTAACAATACCCCAGTTGACGTACATGGATCTTTCCCACGATTTTCTCACTAGCTTTGTGAACAACCAGATCAATCTGTAACTACCCAAGTTGAGCTTTCTTGACATTAGTTCTAACTCGCTCAAAACAGTCCCTAGTCCACCTCCATCAACGAATCATTACAATATCTCCAACAACTTCCTCTTCCGGGACATCCAATCTATTTGTAGAGGAAGATCCATTGTCGTCCTTGATTTGTCCATCAATAGTCTGAATGGCACAATTCCTTCATGTCTCGGAAATATTGGTTCTCTGTCATGCTTTCCAAAACGGTTGTGCATTGAAGATTATTGACCTCAGAGAGAATCGATTGCAAGGTCCTGTCCCAAGATCTTTGGCGAATTGTCCAATGCTAGAGTACTTGAACCTTGGTTACAATCAAATTATCGATGGGTTCCCTTCATGGCAATCAGGATTGACCAAGCTGAAAGCTATTATCTTGAAATCCAATAAGTTCTATGGTCCAATAGAAACATATCGAAGCCAGTTAATCGTTAGCTCAAGTCATTTGTAATTAGTTGAGTTCAATCTAGACAATTAAAATGTTCGTTTCATCCAACTAATTAATTGATCATTGTTGTATTGAAGAAAGCTAAGTAAGGATGAAAGCTTACATGAATAACATCCATACACACACCTCGATTAGTTCACTTCCCTGGGTGATCGTAAGGGCGTCCTCTCTTATATTGACACGGTGAATTCGGGATTTTATTTTAGAGCGCTCCCAACAAGGCTTGATACCCAAGATCACAAGGAGACGAGCAAACCATCTAACCATCTAAACTAACACCTTGTTGTTTCTGTTTAGCAATTACGAGTGCGCGATTTAACTAGAAAAGTAGACAAAGATGATGTATTGGATAATTTAAATGGACAATGCGTGATTTTGTTTCTTCAAGATCCATGTCTGGATCATGCTATTTTTTGGTACGCGGTTCATATCAAAGACAGAGATGTTATCAATGATCTATGTAAGAATGCCTCTTTCCACATACAACAAGCGAGGCAAGTTGCGCTAACTTCCATTGAATATGACCAGTTATTGCTGTCTATAAAAGCTTCTCAATCACACTTTACCTCGCATACATTAACCAACTCCAGCAACCAAAACAAAAAAATCATGGCATCCTTAGTCTATGCGCTTCTTACCTGGATCGTCCTCCTGATGATTCATACTTCACTTGCTATGCCACTGTGCCATCCGTATGAGAGCTCAGCCTTGATGGAATTTAAGAGAAGTTTTCGAACCACCAGAGTAGAATTTACGAGAAGTTTTCAAACCATGAGAGTAGATTTTCTTTGTGTTTATCCAAAGGTTGAATCATGGTCTCTCTATGGACATGGAGATTGCTGCTCATGGGATGGCGTCGAGTGCGACGACACCACCGGTCATGTGATAGGCCTTGACCTTCGCAGTAGCTGTCTCTTTGGTACCATAACTTCCAACAGTAGCCTCTTTCGCCTACTCCACTTGGAATCGCTCAATCTTGCTTGGAATGACTTCAACTCTTCTTCAATTCCATATGGCTTTGGCAATCTTTCCAGGTTACAATACCTTAATCTCTCCAATTCGCACTTTTCTGGAAAAGTCCCCTTGGATATCCCACGGATATCTAGATTAATATCTCTTGATTTGTCTTTTGGGTGGGATCCCAGCATACCTCTTGATTTGTCTCTCGAGATGCCCAACGTAGACAACTTTGTTCATAACTTAACTATGCTTAGAGAACTTGATCTCTCTTTTATAAGCATGCCATCACCATTCCCACATGTGCTTGCAAACTTCTCCTCTTTGAAGTCACTTAAACTTAGAGATTGTGGATTGCATGGAGAATTTCCGATAGGCATCTTTCAATTACCAAACCTCGAAGTCCTCGACATAAGTTTGAATGACAAACTTTATGGTTCGATTCCAGAACAAAAGTGGGGTGTTTCCCTAAAATCATTAATTCTTTGGGGCACGAATTTCTCAGGAGAAATACCCGTTTCCATCGGAAACCTTGCTTTCTTGAATGTATTATCAATTGGGGAATGTGATTTCTCTGGTTCACTTCCCACTTCATTGGGTAATCTTTCTCAGCTTGCTATTCTGGATATATCAGCAAGTAAATTTCATGGTCAAATCCCCGCTTCCTTCGCTAACCTCACGCAGCTGTCATATCTAGATCTCAGTGTCAATAATTTCAGCGGTGATATTTGGCATTGGCTTGTCAACTTGGGAAAACTCACCTCTTTGGGCCTTGCAGGTAATATTCAACTATCAAGGCCTTTATTTTTGAATTTAAAAAGAAAAAAAGAGAAAGAAATGACGAGATTCAATTTGTGGCCAAATTAACGAGTCTTATCTGTTTACATTTGGCAGATGTTCAACTAAGTGGCCTGATTCAGTCTTCATTTGAGAACTTGACGCGATTGATTAATCTTGACATTTCATTCAACAATTTGCAAGGTGAAATTCCAAACTCATTAGGGGAACTCAAGCATCTTGAATATCTATGTCTTAGTAGGAATAATTTGAGTGGCACAGTGGATATACACAAACTCAAGGATCTTGAATTTCTTGATCTCAGTTGGAATAATTTGAGTGGCATTGTGGATATACATGAATTCAAGAACTTGACAACATTATATTTGGACTTCAACAACATATCTTTTGTCAGCAAGAATGAGGTCAATTGCGCTCTTCCAAAACTTTCCACTTTAGCTTTAGATTCATGCAACTTACATGAGTTCCCAAAGTTTTTAGGCTACCTAAGCGGATTAGAGACTTTAAGTCTTTCACACAATAACATTGGAGGGAGTATTCCTTCATGGATGTGGAATGGTGGTAGAGAGACCTTGAAGTATATTGATCTTTCTCACAATTTTCTAACTGGCTTTGTGAACAACCAGATTAATCTGCCACTACCCAAGTTAATATACTTTGACATTAGTTCTAACTTGGTCAAAACAGCACTCCCTAGTCCACCTCCATCAGTGATTTATTATAATATCTCCAATAACTTCCTCTTCGGGGAAATTCAATCTATTTGTAAAGCAAGATCCCTCGCTGTTCTTGATTTATCCATCAATAGTTTGAATGGCACAATTCCTTCATGTTTCGGAAATATTGGTTCTTTGTCAATTTTGAGTCTTGGAAAAAATAAACTTGAGGGCATGATACCTAATGCTTACCCAAAAGGTTGTGTGTTGAAGATTATTGACCTCATAGAGAATCGATTGCAAGGGCCTGTCCCAATATCTTTGGCGAATTGTACAAAGCTAGAGTATTTGAACCTTGGTTATAATCAAATTCTTGATGGGTTCCCATTCTGGCTATCAGTATTGACTGAGCTGAAAGCTGTGATCTTGAAATCCAATATGTTCCATGGTCCAATAGAAACATATCAAAGCCAGTTTAACTTCAGCAATTTGCATATCTTGGACCTTTCCAACAATAGTTTCAATGGTGAACTTCCTTCCAAGTTGTTGCAGAGTTTCCACGCCATGAAAGTAATTATTGGTCAAGATCAGTTGGAATATATGTATACTTTTTCAGGGCTCCCTCCTTCCTTCTATATATATATATATATATATATATATATATATATATATATATATATATATGCAATAGTTACCATTTATGTGGATATTCAGCAAGTGGTTGATACGTATAAAACGACCTATGGAATGAAACTGATGTATAAAGGAATAGAAACGGAATACTCGAAGGTTCCTTTTAATTTGCTCTTATGGAAATTGACCTCTCCAATAACAAATTCGAAGGATGCATACCCGATCTTGTTGGAGATTTGAAGTCTCTTGTAACACTCAACCTTTCGAACAACATTCTCATTGGTTCCATTCCGCCGTCCTTAGCAAACTTGACAAAGTTGGAATCTCTAGATCTTTCTCGGAACAATCTCTCAGGAGAGATACCTCAACAACTAGCCCAACTAACATTTCTTTCATCTGTAGATGTTTCTCATAATCAACTATCGGGACCAATACCACGAGGAAGTCAGTTCGACACATTTGGGACTTCTTCATTTGCCATGAATAAGGGGTTGTCTGGAAGTCCTTTACCAAATAAATGCACATAAGTTGGGGATAACTTACCATTACCATCATCATTGCTCGAGGAAGAAAATGGGGAAGAGTCTCCATTTGACTTGAATTGGAAAATTGTGCTAATTGGCACTGGAGTCAGGTTTTCAATCGGCATTGTGCTAGGGAACTTGATCATTGACAAGAAGAGTAGGTGGTTCTTGCACTACTCCAAGAGAATGGCAAAAAAGTGGAAAAGATTGGGAAGGCAGTGAGTAATAAGGAAGCGTGCATGCAATTGGATACTTATGTGACATTTATTAGTAATGTAAATTGTCATGTGTCTAATTTGTATTAAAAATAGTCACAAATTGCTAAGATTTTTATCTATGTTTGCGTCATGTGAACTCGTGTGGTTCCTAAGTTATGGTATGTAGACGTTGTTTTCTTGTATATTATTCTTTCTGACTGTTTTTCCCTGAACATCATATTATATCGTTATAAACTGTAACATATAAAGTGGCAATCTACGCACAAACGTGTGTATATATGCCAATCAGCACTCACTTTTACTTCTGGTCTATGATAGATAATCTAATTTTAGGACATTCGCTACTTCCAAAATCTAATTGTGGCGAGCTACTAAATATTGGAACCTATAGACACAATAGAGACAAGAAGATAAATATGAAACTAAATTATTTGCAGTTTAATCGTTAAAGACTACAGGTGAAAGCGATGGATTGCTATCCTTAATCACCAATTTATTTTATGAAGAGATTCCTAAAATTTGGATTTAGAAGAATGATGCTAATTTTTGCTAGCTTAGCCACTGAAAAATAAGAAAAAACTTTACAGAAAATAATATCCTGTCACGACACAAATTGGTAATCTTCTATTATGAAATTTCATCTGAATATACATTCAAATTGCGGAGAACAAATCTTTAGTTTGAGCCCGTGAACAACCGGAAAAACAAAAATTATTGAAGCAAATGAAGGCCCTTTCTACTTAAGATTCATGACAATTTTCACACCGATCTCCCTAGTTTCCATGGACAACGAAACTTTTACATCGTCATCCACCATGTATATTAATTGGCTTTTCATTAGCATCGACTTATCTCAATTACGTCTCTAAATGGCAGTATTTACAGGTTTAAAAAAAATGCTCTTATTCAAGATAGATAAACATAGATTAGAATCTTCAGACATGCATGTGTAACTGTTCTCAACAAGCTGCTTAAACATAGAGTATTACGTATCTAGCTGCATATTTTCTTGTCTGCCAGAGCTTTCCTCACCTTTTCCATCCATTTGCCATTTTCTTGGAGTAGTGCAAGAACCGCCTACTCTTCTCGTCAATGATCAAGTTCTCTAGCACAATACCGACCAAAAACCCGACTCCAACTCCAACCAACACGATTCTTCGATCCAAGTCGAATAGACACTCTTCTTCATTATCTACTCTGAAAGATGGTGGTGGTGGAGTGTTATCATCATTTGTGCATTTATTTGGCAGAGGACTTCCACACAAACCATCATTCATCGCAAATGAACTGCTCCCGAACATGTCAAATTGCGATCCATGTGGTATGGGTCCTGATAGACGATTGTGAGAGACAACGAAAAATGAAAGAAATGTGATGCGGGCTAATTGTTGAGGAATCTCTCCCACAAGTTTGTTCCACGATAGATCTAGTGATTCGAGTACTATCATGCTAGTCAAGGAAGGAGGGATGCTACCAATGAGGAAGTTGTTTGAAAGGTTGAGCATACGAAGTGACTTTAGATCTCCAATGAGTTCAGGAATGAACCCTTTGAACTTGTTATTGGAGAAGTCAATCGCCATGAGAACATCTGGAATCTTCGCATATTCCCTTTCCGTGCCCTTACTCATTAATGTCATCACATAATTCATACCTTCATTGAATGAAACAGAAGACAGATCAAGCCTTTTAAAAAGACTCAAATATGCCAACTTATCTTGACCAACGATGACCTTCATGGTGTGGCAACTCTTTAACAACTTGGAAGGAAGTTCACCATTGAAGTTGTTGTTGGATAGGTCTAGGATGTGTAAACTGGTGAAGTTAAGCTGGCTTAGATTATCTTCTATGGATCCCTGCAACATATTGGACTGCAAGTCAATAACTTTTAGGTAGGCCAATTCCGATAGCCAAAATGGTAATGTATCATTAATTTGGTTTTCACCGAGATTCAAATACTCCAGCATTCCACAATTTCCTAAAGATCTCGGAACAATCCCTCTTAGTCGGTTTTCTCTTAGGTCGATCATCCTCAATGAACAACCATGTGGGTAAATGCGAGGAATCATGCCCTCGAATTTATTTCTCGCGAGATTCAATATAATCAAAGGACCAATACTACCCAAACAAGGAGGAAGTGTGCCATTCAGAGCATTGTTGGACAAATCGAGAATAGCAAGAGAGCTCACTTCACAAATGGATGTTGGAACTTCCCCAAATAGGAAATTGTTTGAGATGGTGTATAGCATGATCAAGGGTGGTGGGACAAGGAGTGTTGTTTCTAGCAAGTTAGAACTAAAGTCAAGATACGTCAAGTTCGGCAAAAGATGATCGGTTTGGTTGTTTTTTAAACCAGTTAGAAGATTGTGAGAAAGATCTATATACTTAGAGAGATTCTTTGCTATTGTTCCACATCCATCTAGGTATAGTCTCTCGGATTCCGTTGTGTGGTAGGTCTAACCGCACCAATTCGCTTAAGTAGCCTATAAACTGTGGGAACTCGGTCAAGTTGCACAAATCCAAGTATAAGAAGTAAAGCTTTGATGTAGTGGCATTGATGAATGACTTGGTGAACGACGTATTGTTGTAGGACAAATATAAGTATCTCAAGTTCTTGTGTTTGAATAGATCATTTTCATTGAGAACGCCATTGAGATTAAGCTACTCTAGGCCAAGCCCTTCAAAATCCTTTAGATTCCACAATGTGCCCGAAATATCACCACGCAAAGTCAATCGCTTCAAGTTCTCAAATGAAGATGGCAATCCACCGCTTAACCGATTATCTACCAAACATAAGGGAAAAAAAAAGACACAAGACAAGAGGAGCGTTAGTTACACCATTAAATTCAATTTCCTATTTCTCTTTGGCTAAAAAATCTAGTCGCCTGAAAATATTAGGTGCAATTGTGATGATAAGTGGCACTGTGAGGCCCATCGTCAAAAAGTTGGAAAGTCTCTCTCCCTCTTGGATCTCTTTCCTTCTCTCTCTCGACATATCCATGGAACCACCGACAGTCAAGCTCCACCACCGCTCACTCCCTCCCTGACCACCACCAAAACCCCCCAGGATGGCCACGAGCAAAACCACCGTTGCCGCCTCAAGAGCTTCGAGTCCAATGACAGGCATGAGCCAGAAGGACCTCCGGCTCGGCAACTTCGGCCAGGTTCTGAGCCACGGCTTCTTCTCCCTCAACTTCCTCAGCTTTCCGACCAAAAAGAAAAAAAACTTCCTCAACTTCAACTCTTTCTCCTCACAATTAATCCCCCTCGAATCATGATCTCGATGCTTGACTCGACGCACGCTTCGTCCTCCCGCAGCCTCCTCAAATCCCTAATTTTCAGATTCACGCTCCCAATGTACCAAACGAATTCTGCCCACGCGCTAATCTTCAACAAAAGATCCGAGTGGCGGCCGTTGATGGAGGGGTAGGGTTTCAGGCAGGAGGGAGGAGGAGAGGATTGGCGAGGTAGGCCTCGAAGTGGAGGAGGAAGTCCCTGTCTCTGGTTTTGCTGGTGGTCGTCACGGCAGGGGTTTTGGCAGTGGTTGGGTAGGGAGCGAGCGGCCGTGGAGCTCGATAGATCGGTGGTTCCAAGGAGCTGCAGAGAGAGAAGGAAGGAGATCCGACCGAACAGGTAGAGAGGAAGAAACTATTACCTGAAATGTCCAAGTCGGTAAGTTTTGTCAAGTTGACCACCCACTCCAAAGTATCGCCACTCAAGTTATTGGAAGAGAGAGTTAGCACCAATAGCTGGGTAAGGTCAGCAAAGGAAATAGGGATTTGACCTTGCAAGTTATTTCCGTTGAGGAGTAGTGCAGTGAGATGAGAAAGATTACCCAATGAAGAGGGAATCGATCCTGAGAAATAGCACTCCCAGGCATATAACTTATTCAAGAGACTAAGATTTCCCTTATACTTCAGGGTTTGACCTTCATGTTATACTTCAGGGTTTGACCTTCATATTATACTTCAGGGTTTGACCACGAACAACTGGTCGGAGTGGACCCGCTGTTGGCCTCGGGAAAATCTTCACAGCCTTCTTTTGCCGAGCTGGGCGCAAAATAAAGAACATCAGAATGCTCCAAGAATAAGAATGGCAGCACTTTGATATAAAGCGAGCAATTCAATTACCTAAGCGTCGTCTAGCTTTTCTTGCACGCTTGTTAAACTAGGTCTTGACATAATTTTGCCAGTGCTTTCTGAAGTGCCCATTTGGCACCACATTGTTATGTTTAACCATGACTTACCTAAAAAGGGAAAAAAGACAGAGCTTTTAAGGTTAAGATGGCTCTGAGATGTACATTTATGTTATCAGCAAAAGTTTAAATGATTCAAACACATTAACGAAAAGTACAGCAAGTCTGTTTTTACACTCTACACAATGTTAAAACTGGCTTTCAGAGCCTATATAGAAATTCAGAAAGCTAAATATCATAAGCATAGTATCTTCCACATTACCGACACAATAATTTCATTTTGGAATAAGCACTTTCACTAAAGAGCAAGAACGAGATAGTAAGGGAGTAAACCAAACAATAGTGAGTTTTAAGTTTTGTTGACTAACAGCTTAAATAAGTTTAAACATGTTGAGCTCATATCAGGATATTCCTAGACTGCGGAAATCCGAGTAAATCCCATTTAAAGTGCAAGAATCATGTCTGGATTTAGAACTACAATCCCCATTCAAAGGGCATCGACATTCTCAAACCTTCACACTCCCACTGCACACTAGAACAACAAAATGCTACATCGCGAACAATTCCGACAAGTAAGCAGTACAATCAGATAAAAATCAAAACTTGATTTCAACCTCCTCAGCCCAGAATAGGGAAACAGTTACTTCCAACAATAATTCCAACAACAATTCCAACAGCGAGGTCGAACGAAAACAACACACGGCACTTCCAACACAATACGTTCGGCAGGAAAACAAACACCTGTGATTCGTGAAGAGAACACCTCCTCGCATCTCACAACACGTAACGGCCCAATTAGATCGGGCTAAGATGGCCATGCGCAACAGGTTGAGCTCACGAACGACGACTACGACAACTGTGAATGATGCTGAAGCTTTCGAACGAACAAGCGGATCCGAAACGGAGCAAAAAGCAAACGGATTCGAACCCGAAATGGGATGGAAGCGAATCCGACGCGGATCAAAACTGGAGAAGGAGAGACCCAAGAGGCCGAAGATCAATCACGCGATGATCAGCACCGATAATTTTCAAAGGATCGAGCTCGAACGGTACCTGCTACGGAGCTTGAGAATCGAGGCGGTGCGATGGTTCCGACGGAGAGGAGCTGGTTCGACTGAGAGAAACCTTTATGGGCCTGTTTGGTTGGGCATTTGAAAGCTACTTTAAGGCTCTAAAGTCCCTTCAACAAATGCAAACCTGTTTGGCAAATATTTTGGCAAGCTTTGAGGAGATGCAATTGCATCTCCAAAGCCCTCTAAGGGACTTTGGTTGAATGGAGGGATGGAGGAGCTTTGGGGACTTGCATTTTCGGAATGCAATGTGCACTGTTCATCTTCCCAATTGAGACCGGCGACTGCCGCCTGAGGGCTCCGGCCACTACCGCCTAGGGGTCGACTGACGTCCGGTGACCGCCGCTTGGAGGTTGGCCAACCCCAGGTGGCGGTCGCCGGGGTCGGCCAACCCCCAAGCGGCGATCGCCGGCCTCGCGCGACCCAGGCGCTGCCTAAGGTCGGCCGACCCTAGGCAGCGGTCGCCAGCCTTGCGTAACCCAGGCGACGCCGCCTGAGGTCGCGCAACCCTTCGGTTGCGGTCGCCGGGGTCGCGCAACCCAGGCGACGCCTGAGGTCGCGCGACCTCAGGCGAGGATAGCCGGCGGCCAGATCTGGTAGCCGGAGCTTGGCTAGCGGCCAGCCGGCCATGGCTCTTCATTCTTTGCTTTTTTTTTTTAAATATTAGCAAAAGTTCTTCACAAAATTAATTTTTACCAAACGGTATTTAGACCAAAGTTGCTTTCAAATATGATTTTAAAATATACATTACCAAACACTACTTGCATTTCGAAAAATCCCTTTAGCTCAAAGGTATTTGCATATATGCAAATGCATTCCCCAAAAGCCGAACCAAACAGGCCCTATATCGCTCCGTACGTACAACCCTAGGGCTCACGTATTGGATCCGAAAAAGAAAAACGGGTTTTAGGCCTGACCCGATTCTTTTAGCTGTATATGGACTCGCGTCGCGGGCCGAAAGCCCAAGGCCCAATAAGACTCGATGTAGACTCTTTCTTCCTAGTGACATTAGGGGCACCGTGGCCGGATAAGGTGGTGCAGCTAAGATTTTTCCCTTTGTTTGTACATTCAAGAGAGAGAAAGAACAATTAAATATGTTGAAGAACAGATGATTGGCCAACGATTCGGTAGTTGGGAATGATTCAGACTTGGAATCGTATAATTTCTTCTTCTCGCGTTAAATTTGAATTGCAAGGTCTGTTAGTATCCACGGTACATCACAATTTGGATTAGATTTATGAAAAGACCGGTGTCGTATGGTACCAGAGAGACAATAGCTACTGAGGTTGAGGTCAACAATGTGATCGCTGAATTCACTGCACTCCATAGCCCTCCCATGACCAGTAATCTCTATTTCAACTTGGTGACGACTATGATTCGAGCTTTGGATAAAAGCGACGAGAACCTGCTCGGTTGATCCTAAGACTCCTCTTGAGCCGTATCAAGGCCGATCTCTCAACGACATGACACATTGGATTAGCAAAGCAAAAAATGACTAACTTGTATCATTGACAAGTGATAAGTTTGGTCGACTATCCAAGAGGTCATTTGTGAAAATGGGGTTAATTTAAAGGACTAAACTACAGCTTAGTAAGATCATCAACAACAAATGAGAGAAATTACCAATATGTATCATTGCCAATCGACATCGTTCATTGATGATTTGTCATGCAAATTTTGTGTGAGTGGGAACTAGAAGACAAGTGAGATGTGTCGATTTCAACACCAGACGACGATTCCAGTATCAAGTGATGATTGATTATCTTGATAACTTCTTGTGAATAATGATTATCAGTGTACGAAA